ATTACATAAAAATCAAAAATAAAATATTGAAATACTAGTGGTGATAGTGGTATTAAAAGCTGATATTTGACTAAGATTACTGAATATCAACAGGAAATTTTCTCTAATATTTATAAAGCACAACAGATTCACAATGGATCTTTCGGTGAAAGCACTCTTCAGACTGTAGAAAAGAACATACTTGCTTAAGCAGAGCTTTCCCAGAAGAAGAGATTGCAGAGAAAGGGCCTTCAAATGTCCTGGCCTCTGGGGCATACCTGTGATTGTTTTCCTTTATCTCTGAGAATACATATGTAAGGGGCATCACCATCCAGGTTTGATCCTTTTTTCCTTGAGGTGAAGGAGCCCAGCAATAGATCTAGTATAGTGTCAGCTGTTTGAGAAAGTAACAAGGTTTCATTTCTTGTTGTTAGTATTATTACACTCCACCCAGGAGCATTTATTGCCTCAAGGAGAAGTATACATTAGCATAGAAGAAACAGGACATAATAATGTATAAAGAAATGTTTTCACATGAATAGCAGAAAAATAAAATTCAGAGCACTTATTATTAAGAGTCTGCCTTTTATCGAGTAAAGGATTTTTTAAATTACTGAAACTTGACTCTGTTTTGAGAAAATTTTAAAGAAGTTACAGTTTTGAGTGAGCAAAATTGGGGATGAATAAAGAGCAGTTTCCTTAATCTCAAGAAAGGTTGTGATAATTGAAGATCTTCTTTAGGATTCTGAATGCAGGGAGAGTTAGGATTGGGAGAGAAGAGCTGGAGAATTTAGAAAATCTTGGAGAGTTATAACACTACCCAATGTGTGTTTTTTGTAGTTGAAAGCCTGGTTGAAAGTTTAATAAAGAAAATTATTAAAAGATGATCTGACAGCAAAATTATCTGTTACCGGGTCCAACTCAGTCATAGAAACCCTACCCAGACTGTGCTGAAGGAATTAAGAAACAGAGATAGAACAGCCTTCCAAGCTGAGAGGCTCAGAGGCCTAAGAGCCTTCTGAGCTGAGGGCCTCAAGCACCTCTGACCCACGTATTTATTCTCCTTGAACAGGTGAGTATTATTAACAAGCAGGTGTTCTGTGTTTTCTCATAGAACCAAGATGAACTAGGCAGGCAGCTGGTGCCTGCTTACCACTGATAAAGTATTCTTCAGGAGGGAGCCATAGGGCAGGGTCACAAATCCTGTGTTTAAAGAATGAGTTTAACTGGTGTATGATATGCATATACTGTTTTCTACTTTAGAACACCCTAAGCAGTTTTCCACTTGAGGGGCCAGCTCGGTTTACCTTGCTGTAGTTCTCAGCAAACAACATACTCCAGCACACACGTTAGGAAACTTGTCCCAGCAATCTGTCATGAGTATAAACTGTGCCACCTCACAAAGTGAAGTCTGACTTCACTTACAGCAACACAGAGCAAGTTCCCAAAAATACACTCATGCTGTGACTGTATATTTATTTCTGTTTGAATAAATTTGTCTATAAAAATATATTTAGATATAAATATACTTATTTATATTGAATACATAATTGTATATTACATTATAATTATATACTATATTATATAAACATATAATCAGTTGTGTTTATCTAGTTATAGACATTTATATATGTTTAAACTCCTGGTTGATATTGTGCTTTCATTTTGGATAGCAGAAACAAGGGGCAACTCAGCAAAACTTGGGTCCAATGCCCAGAGGACATATTCTGTATAAGCTTTCCGAGGACAAATACACGTATTAGTCTCCTATTGCTTATGTAACAAATTACCTCAAACTTAGTGCCTTAAACAACATAAATTTATTATTTTATATTTCTGGAGTTTAGAAGCTCTAAAGTCCAGGTGTCATCAGGGCAGCCGCATTCCTTCTGAGGGTTCTGAGGGAGAATGTTTTCCTTACTTTTTCCAGATGCTAGAGGCTATTTACATTTCTTGGTTCATGACCCTGTCCTTCATGTTCGAGGCCAGCAGCTCAGCATCTTTAAATCCTTCTTTTACTGCCTGACCTCTGCTTCCATTGTCTCATCTTATCTGAATCTGAACTTTCTGCCTCCCTCTTATAAGAACTTCTGCAACTCTATTGAGCTCACTCACAAAATCCAGGATAATCTTCCAATATTGAGATTTTAAAAATCTGCAAAATATTTTTTCCAATGTAAAGTAAAATATTCACGGGTTCTGGAATTAGATCATGGACATCTTTTGGGGACTGTTATTCTGTACACCACTTTATGATTTCAGGTGTATTGTGTAAACCTCTTTAAATCAGATTCGTGGCTAGAAATCATCATTTGACAACAAAGTTTTACTGTCAGAATGTGAGATTTTTAGAGCCCCAATTAATTTATTATCCAATTCCTATAGCAGTTTCTGGTCTCATCCTCAGCAAGACAGGAAAAGGAAATTAGTTAATTTGCTAAGGTTGGTAATTATTAGGCAACTACTTTCTTTCATTATAGACAAAAGGATTATTGTCAATAGATTTAATAAATGTGGGGAAGCCTTTCATGTACATAGCTATTTTAGGACAACATTATGCCACTGATACACTATAATCATTTGTTATTCATCTCATTTGAAAGCAAAAATGGAAAAGGAAAAGCAATTTCCAAACTTCGTTAAGTTCATAGTTTCTCTAAAATAAAATCGTAATTAATAAGTTACATGCTTTTCACATAAAAATGTTACTTTAAAATATGTGTCACAGATATTTTCATGAAAACTCATTAGATAGAAGAATGTATTTATTTATTTAGAGACAGAGTGTCACTCTGTCCCAGGCAGGAGTGCAGTGGTGCAATCTCAGTTCACTGCAGCCTCTCCCTCCCAGGTTCAAGTGATTCTCCTGCCCCAGCCTCCGGAGTAGCTGGGATTACAGGCATGCACAACCACAAAGAACTAACTTTTGAAATTTTTTCTTTTTTTTAGTAGAGACAGTTTTTCATCATGTTGGCCAGGCTGGTCTTGAACTCCTGACCTTAGGTGATCTGCTCACCTCAGCTTCCCAAAGTGCTGAGATTACTGGTGTGAGCCACTGCACCTGCCAGAAGAGTTTATTTTTATAAACTTGTGAGATCTTTTGATAACCCAACTTTTTTCAAGAAGGATTAAAGTAGACTGTATGTTTGAGTTAGCGTCATTTTTAACTTTCATAAGTGTACAGGTTTAATAAATTATGTGACCACCTTAGGATAATTCTTCCTACATTGAAACAAAAATAGAAGATAGTTTGTTGTCTGCCTTCTCCATAATCAATATATGTTGAAGATACAAGCGGAAAAAATATGCAAATACCTAGAAGTAAAAAGGGATATCTTGGAACAACAGATGTTGTTAAGGATGCTTAGAGGCTGAGGGCAAATGGGATCAGATACAGGATTAGAACAGTAGTCGGGGCCCTTGCTGAAAGCTGGGAGAGGGCCCAGAAAGAGGAGCAGCAGCCAACAGTGTCAAGCAGTTTCTCAACTGGAAACATTATTGAAGGAAACAACTACCAGACCTCCAAGAAACAGCAGAGCCCAAAGAAACTGAAACAAATGACACTATATCCAAGGAAACAGATGACAGAGCAGCCAGAACTAGTGAAACCAAATAAAACTAATAATTTCAGAAAAGTGAGAGAAGGTATTTAATCAAAGGAACATCAGTAGAAAGAGTTAGAAAAAGATGTATAAACGAACACCTAGAGATGGTGAAGGTGAACATAAAAAATACAGTCTTAAACAAAACAGTCCATTTCTGGGCTAAACAGTAAAAAGTCCAAATTTTGATTTAGGAATTTGCTTTTATTACATCAGAAAAGGATAGTGAGATAACAAGCATAATATAAAAACTTGAAAAAAAAGGATAAATAAATGGAATTTGAAGAGAGAAAAGATAGACTGTAATTGTAATTATTGTAACTGATGGAAAAACACTACTGCTTTAAAAATATTGATCTTGTATTCAGATGCCCTATTAAGCTTTTAAGAATTAATTCTTACTTAAATTTATCCATTTATTCTTTTGGTTGCCCTATATAGACAAAATGGTATCTGAAAATAAAATAAAACTTCGTCTTTAATTATTTTACCTATACTTTCACATGAATATAAAGATGTTCACAATTCATAACAGCAAAAATATTGGAAACAGCCTTAATTTCATCAGTGAAGGAAGAATTCAATTACATTATGGTGAAATGCTATATAGCAATTAGAAATAGTGATCTGACTTATAAGTATCAAAATAAATGAATTGTTTAATGTTGAGACAAAAATTGACAAAGAAAACTGTGGAGAGATACATTTCAATGTGACATCTCAGCGTGAACATTAGATATTGTTGTTCATGGTACATTGATTGACTTTACACATATAAGAAACAGCAAAAAAACAGATTAGCAACATGAACCTTAAATATATTAAAATGGATATCAGAAGAGGAAAATAGAACTGGGAATGGGGTATAAAAAGTTTAAAAATAAAAAGTAAAGAGTGGGTATCTCCTGGACCAGTGAAGAAACGATGTCACCATCCTAAAGAGTATTAATCAAAACAATGTTATTCTTTCCATCTAGTCTGGTGGATCAAGATAAAAACAAACCAAATTCAAAGCTACATTTTCTTAAATAAAATTAATACATAAATAAATGAGTGGAATTTCAAAAAAGAAAAAAGTAAAACCCATTTTTAGTCATAATTACTTTCTTTCCTGGCAGACACTGAGAAAGAAGAAAAGATACGTGATTTTTCTAACTTGTTATTCAAAAAGTAGTTGCAATGGACCCTTCTTCACCTAAGCTCTACAAAATGCATTTGCATGTGGGGGGGGTGATATTGTGGGGATAAGAGGACAATTTCTTATTAATACCTCCAAAGCGTGAAGAAATATAATTCAAAATGCTGGTTGTTATAGTGCCCTGTGATAACAATCAAAGTCTTGATTATGAAGGATAGTTAAGGATAGCCAATAAGTGAGCATGAAAAGTACCAACCTTTTTCATTGCACCTTACTGAGGACTAATCTGTATGCACCACTCAAAAAGAATAATAAAGAAATAATATTTACTCCAAGTGGTGCAGGGGAGCATAGGGCTCTGCCCCGTGATGTACAGTCCCTTTCCACAAAGTTGGAGATGAAGCTGGGCCTCGTGTCTGTGCCTGCATATACCTACAGCTTCCCAGAGTCCTGTGGACAATGACTGAGGAGACAAACCATTCAGGAGACATGTCTAGGGTACCAGATTTTAAGCTGAAGTAGGATTTCAGGCGTTTGATCATTATTTCTTTTCCTTTAGGAAAGAAGAGGATCTGCACTTGACCTTGGGCATTGACATTTAATTTTTGGGTCTTTCATATAGAAGGGAGTGTAGGTAAACTGATATTTTTTAAAAGGGAGGGTTTCACAATCTTTGGCAGACTGGGAGGAAAACATTGGGGTCCATTTCATACCTCTTGTAAAAGTTGCCCCTAAACAGAAGTTTGTTTTGTATTAAAGACTTTGAAATTTGACAAAAAAAAAAAAAAGAAATAACATTTACTAATTTAGATGAAAAATGCACCCAAATCTCATGGAATTATTGAAACTAACAGAAGTAAATGGCGTGGTAGGGTGACTTATCTCTAAATAACTAGAGTAAGATTTATTTCCCATAATTGGAAGAAATGGCCTCTAAATGTGAAAACAAACTTTATTTCAGGCCTAACATATATGACATTTACAGTAAGAATTTCTTCACATTTGTACTTTTAACCCTGTTTCTTTCTGGTTATAAGAGTGGGGGAGAAGTATTACTAGGTCTAAAAAAGGCTGGCCATACTGCTTATGTTCAGTATGTGAACTACAAATGTTCTACAGCCTGTAGAGTTGTTTGCTCCCAATTTAACTTCTGTCAGTTCAAACAGGGTTTTCATTTATTGGCTGGTATGATGATTTCTGAGGATTTGGATGCCAGCATTGATTAAATCGCTGCCAAACCTTTACTACCTCACAATCTGGACTGGGACAATTTTTTCCCTAAGGGTTGCTTTTCTGTATCAGTTACTGAATGCAGGGGAAAGAAACAAAACAAAACTGGTGTTGTTGGTCAATAGATAGAATCAAATACAACTGAATGTCAGCCTGTGGGACAAATCTAGGTTTGTTATTTTCTTAAATAGCTCTAATAAGGTTGCATTTTTTTTCTAAAATGCCAATTTGTGAAAATTTCTGATCTTGATAAAAATACTGATGCTCAGAATAGGGCAGGGAAATTGAAAGACTAGTGTTACAGGTAGTGTTTCTAAAGTTCAGTCTGTGGACCATCTGCTTCAGATTCATGGGGGTGTGCTTATTAAATATTCAGACTTCTGGTCTTTACTACCAAATGAACTCTATAAAGCAGGCACCAAAACACAAGCATTTTAAAAGTTTCTTATAATCTAGAAACTCAACCTAGAGGATTTTAATTTTAACTCAGTAGTCTAGTGATTCTTTATTATTTCTCATAAGAAGAGTTCTGCAGAATAACTCAAAGTAATTGATTATCAATTTTAATTATATATGGGTCATTATAGGGATCTTTTCTGAATCGAAATCTACACAGCCATCCTGGGTCCAATTTGCAGTGGTGTGTTTTCATGAATTAAAGAATAATGATGAATGCCATTGGATAGAGACTTTGGATTTCAAATCTCAAGTCTCTGCAAAATGACATTGCAAAATGATGTGAGAATTCAGAAACTTTTAAACAAGTCTCATAAAATAATCTTTTCATTATCCTACTATTAGATCAGAAAGAATTTTGGTTAGAATATACTATTGTGCTACCAATTTTAGTTATTTAGAAGTCGATGCTTCACCTTTGGAGGACCACTATATGGAACTAGGATGATATTCAAGGATAATTAAAGGTGAATGTGGCCCAGCCATGGCAGGCACATAGCAGAGAGCAGGTCTAGGCAGCAAAGGGGGAGAAACCTAGATTTGCTTGAATCAGAGTCTGAACAGATAATGTAAAACCAGAACATTATGTTGAGAAACTTCTAAACTGCATATGTGTTGACTTCCATGATTTTTTTTTTTTGATGTTTCAAAATGTATCCCAATAAACGCCTGCATCATAGAAAAATATCAGTAATAATTGGAGTAAGAAAAATAGCCCAACCTTCTTATTAAAAGTATGTTTTAACGTTTAGAGCTAAACTAAACATGTCTAGGAATTCCATTTGCCTCATTATTTGACAAAAATAAAGAAAGGTCGATGCTAAGCAAAACTAATAAGAAAAATAAAATAGAGAGGATAAAAATAAACTGAATTAAGATAACATTTAAAAAATATATGGTTAATTAGCTAGGATAATTACATAACGTCAAGAGATGGTTGATATAAAAAAATCTTGAAGAATCAAGTAGAAAAATCAGATTTGAAAAGATGAAAACATTTAACACAAATACATTTTAAAAGAATTTTTTAAAAGGACTAGAAATTTGAAGAATAAAATAACAAGACAAATATATAGGAATGCAAGAACCTCTTATAAGCATAGGAGCTAAAAGAAAAATCCAAGCTATATATAGAAAAATCCAAAGTTTAACAGTCTTTGAGATCTTAAAACAGTGTTCTAGGATGAAACACTTGCAAATCTCTGGAAAACCTCGTCTTTACCTCTGTCTTAGTCCATTGAGACTGCTAGAAGAAATATCATAAACTGGATAGATTATAGACAACAGACATTTATTTCTCATTATGCTGGAGTCTGAGCAAAGTCCAAGATCAAAGCACCAGCAGGTTGGTTTCTGGTGAGGGCCCACTTTTAGGCTCATAGTCAGAGGCTTCTTTCCATGTGTCCTCTTATAAATGCACTAATCCCATTTATGAGTGCACCACCTTCATGACCTAAACATCTCCTTGAGCTGTTTTATGTCCTGCAATGGTATATAATTGGTTTATTAAAACATTGCTCAAATACTACAAGTGTTTTCATAATTCTAGCTAATTTTGTCTACTGTTGATATACTTCATTTACATAGGGCAACTATGAAATCATTGCCACCTTTTCACCTTTTAATATCTACTCCACAGGAATTATTTTAGCTTGTTCTTTGGTACTCAATACATGAAGTGGGACAGATACTATTTTGCATCAAAGAAAAGAATATATATTGCATTGCCTCTTTTGCACTTGCACTTCCTGCTGTATATTTTAAAAACACTAGTAGTAACCTGTGTGGTAAGTTATTTAATCAAGCTTTGTGCAGTAAAAAAAAAAAAAAAGGTCATATTGCTGGATGTTTACTAGTTGCAAAAATATGCTAATAGTACATAATTGCATATTGCCTCACTGCACACTTCAGCCTCTTAAATGAGGAAATATCTCTAACAGCATTTCATACTCTGGAGGGATCATTTCTTCCTAAAAGGAAATTTAATACACAAGTTTTTCTTCCAAAAGGATTTCACCAGAAAATATAGCATACTGAGATGGGCAAAATAGAGCTTTTTGCTCTCTCTCTATACATCATTAATGTCAGCTGTTTAAAAATGGATGTCTCTGAGCCAGTTTGCGGCATGTTTTACGGCTGCAAAAGTGTTTAGTGTGGATATAAGTCAGAATATGATTTGTTCCTGACACCAGATGCTGCCTGTGACGTTTTCTTGAGAGAGAATAATGAAGAGAAGTTGCCACATAGATTCTATTCATTAGGCTTTTCTTTTTAATCAGGTCACAGTTTGAAACCTTCTGACAGTGTCAGTTCTGCACTGATCCAAGGATTATCATGGTCGATAATGGACAGTGAGTATTCTACCTCAACTTCATTTGGACTTATGAGTGGTTACAGTTTGCTAATGCAGCATGTGTTTTTTATATTAGAATATGAGAGGGTGAAAGAGTTCACTGAATAATTTTCCTTTAAGATTTATTCAATAGGAGAACACTAAAGTTTTCAAGTATCTCATCGACTTATCTCTTAACAAAACTGCAGAATTGATACATTTGAAAGTGAGTACATTCAACTTCCGAGTTTTAAGATTTCTATAAAAACAGCTTCCAAAAGAGGAGTCCAGGAAATTTCTGATTTGAAAGGCAGTATAATATGATGAAAGAGATCAACCACAAAAGCTGGTGAGCATTAAGAATAGCAATAGTTCATAGCTAAAATTTGCAGATAGCTAAGTAGTTCTTTCTTTTTAACATATTACAGTCAAACCTGAACATTCTCCTGAACGACTTAGGGTACTGGTCTCATGAAGGGGGTCTATCATCATTGCCTGGCAGCACTGATCATTTCCCTCAGCTTTACTTTACCTGAATTGGAAAATCCAACTATTCTAATCAGCTTGGAACTAATTTTCTGAACTCAGTATAAAGTTTTTGTGTTGTCACCTTTCATTGGTTTGACCCAAATAGCTTCCCAAAATGTATTTATTATATGCTTGTGTCTGTACCATCTCTATTTTTTTCTGCCATGTTGTCATAAACATATTCTCTAGTCTTTTAGAGCTATCAGCGAAATTGATTTTAAAAGGTTACCTACAATATTGAATCAAAATTGATAATATTCTAGACATAAGACCTAAAAATACAAAACTCTTAGAAGAAAGTATAAAAGTAAATTTTCATTACTATAATGAAAGGGATACTTGCACCAACCTCATGTTTATTACAGCACTATCTAGAATAGCAAAGATACAGAATCAACCTAACAATATCCATCAACAGACGAATGAATAAAGAGAATGTGGCACATATATATACACAAAGGAATATTATTTGACCATGAAAAGAATGAACTCATGTTATTTGCAGCAATATAATGAAACGGGGAGGTCCCTATGTTAATTGAAATAATCCATGCACAGAAAGACAAATATTATGTTCTCACTCATATGTGAGAGCTAAAAAGTAGGTCTCATAAAGGCAAAGAGAAATAACAGATACTGGAGGCTGGGAAGGTGGGGTGAGTGGGAAGAGGGATGAAAAGAGGTATGTTAACAGGTACCAATATACAGCTATATAAAAAGTTTAAGTATAGTTAGTTACAATGTATTGCATATTTCAAAATAAGTAGAAGAGAGAACTTAAATCGTTCCCAACACATAACAATGATAAACACTCAAGAAATGGACACCTCAAATACCCTGACTTGATCATTACATACTCTATCCATGTAACAAAATATCACATGTAACCCATAAATATGTAAAATACTATTATCTATAAAATTTTGTTAAAGAAGAACATCAGTAAA